GCTAGCTTTTAAGTCTGTCCCTTACTTGGTGTGACTCTAGCCTTAACCTAATGCTTAATTTCTTCACCTAGAAAATGGGAATAATAATAGTACCAACTTTACAGGTATATCATGAGCTTTGCTGGCACACAGTATATAATCCTCAAATACCAGCTATTATTAAGCAATACCATCAGATGTTAAAAGATTTTCATACAAACAGCTTAGTAGGCATTATTTTGGCTTTTTCATTATTTGAAATTTGTCTTTAATACACAGTGAAAAGACTTTTTAAAATCATTCAGATTTATGTACAGTAGAATACTTGCTGCTGAGTAAAGAAAACGTACATACCTTACATAAGTATATGCATACGAAATTGGGGAAAAAATAGCCATTATTCACATTTTACTGTACATCTGGGTGGGTTTTGTTTTCTTAACTTAGTTTTCCAAAACTTCTTTAATGTATTTGACCTAACTTTGATAATTAAGGGAAAGTTACTGGCAGAAGAAAAGATTTTTTTTATCTTACATTACAATAAAATCTATAAAGAACTCCTAAAAACAATTCCCTTTATAAATTGTAGTACTGCTAGTTTATACCCCTTAGTATCTGTATACCACAAAGGAAGTAGTAAATACTAAGCAACAGAGTACTATTCTATTCTGGTAAATAATAAATGGAAAATAAGGTCAAAATCACTTTGCAAAGTGGAGTTTAGATTACCTGAGTACGCTTAAAAAAAATTTTTTTTTTACTATGAAAAAATTTCAAACTTACACAAAAGTGGAGGCAATAATAAGCCTCCAGAAGCCAAACAACATTCTTCAACAATTATCAACATTTGACTACTTCACCCTCCTCTATTTTAAAGCAAATCCCAGTGATGACATCCTTAAGAATGTCTGTTCTTAAAATATTCTAAGCAACCTGTGGTAATTACAAAGTATGGCTACAAAGCCCTCCCAGCTGAATACCCACACCCTTTTGCATTGTCCTCTTGCTGGTCTGCCCAGGAGGAGGTGGAATCTATTTCCCCACCCCCTGAGTGTGGGCCACCTTGTGAGACTTACTTTGACTAAGAATACACTATGACATTATATGATTTCCAAGGCTGTAAGAAGTCTTATAGCTTCCACTTTCACTCTCCTGGAATGCTGTCTTGGGACCCCCATGTCATAAAAGACCACACTAAGCAAAGCCTCCACGTTTAACCAACACCAAGTGCCAGAAATGTGAGTGATGCCATCTTGGACGTGCCAGCCTGAGAAATCCTTCAGCTGAATAACTGATACATGAGTGAACCCAGGGGAAACCAGAAGAACTACCCAACAGGCACAGAGAACTGTAAAAACACTGTAAACAGTAGTTTTAATCCACAGGGTTTTGAGGTGCTGCGTTACGTAGCAATAGAGTAAAGCTTTGTAACTTATTCCTACAATTATCATTATGAAATGATATGTCTTATGAAAAATCTGATTCGATTTCAGGGTCTAACTTAGACTTCGTCTTTAATATCCAGGGGAGTTACAGTTACTGAATTACCAAAAGCACAACATTACTATACAATAAATTCATGGCATTAAGACCACAGTTATCATAGAAAATACCAATGTATTTCAATAGCCAATAATCTTCCAGAAATATAAAACACAGTTACAATTCCTTTATTTACCTCTATTTGGTATATCCTTTTGTTTAAAAAATCTGCTTCTGGGAAAAAAATTTTTTTTTCTTAATGGGAAATCCTAGTGTTTTATTGATCCTAGTGAACATGGAGACATGAAAACTAAAGGTAGTCACATAAGGAAAGCACTTGTAAAGCACAGAACTTGTGGGGTCTTTAAAAAAATGCCTTGATTTTCAGCTGACAAATATTTAACACATAAAGATACAGCCAGGTCTTAAAAAATACTATCAATAACTAGAAAAAAGTTCAACATCTCCATGAGAAAATAGGACTATGATGTTAAGTCTACGTTAGAATACTTTGAAATAATCTGTCCTCCTTTGAAGTGTATTTAATCTGTGTCAAGTTTCAATCTTCATTCCATAACTGGAAACCATTTTAGAGTTATTCTGAAAGTGGGAAACACGTTACACTGAAGTGCAATGATCATAATGAAGAGATGAAAACTAACTTTTAAGGTTCAAAATATGCCTTCTTAAAGTTATTGACAAAAGTGGGAATATGACAGTAGGTAATTTTAAAACCAGGTGTTCAACTTGTCTAACCAGTAGAGCCAGAGAAATACATTTGAGAACAAGAAAAACCAGTTTTCACCACATGAGTCTGGACCAGAGAAGAAAAGTTAAAAATTAAGATCATGAAAAGTAAAACGCAGCCAACTCTCAAATTATAATTTTATCCTGCTCCCCATTTCTGTGTTCATCTTATGATTAGCAAGTGTATTAAAAATCGAATTTCTGCAAAATAATAATTGTGAGAAGATAAATTATTTCACTATAATTCTGCTTTAGTGAATTCAAGTAGATCTTAGTAAGAACTCAAAATCTTTACTCAGTTTTAAACTGTAATTACACTTATGTGATCAGTTGTTGATTAAGTTATTTAACAGCTAAAACGTTCATTAGTTAAGTTTAATTTGTTGGTTAAAAATGAGGTTTGATATAACCTTGTGCATTTCACTTATGCATTCCCCACTGTTCTTTATTACTAGCACTTAATTATCTGTAGTAACAGAAGGATGTATCAGCATAGATAATTTAAAATCATTTTTTATTTGGCTTAGGGACACAACAGCTCTCACAACAGCTCTTTATTCCCAACAGCATAGAGCACTAACTTTCAAAAACAGTACTGAAGGTCTTTCATGTCATGCTCTAACCCTCCATTCAATTGTTTCAGCTATGCGGAACAAACTGTATATTCCTAAAACAAACCATGATACCATGACTTTCAGTTTCCTTATCAAACTCCTAATCATCCTTCACATCTCAGTTCAAGCAATACTTCCTGTAAAAATTTTCCCCAAGATCAAACACCTCTTCTCTGTGCTCCCACAATACTACCATATATCAATACTTACACTAAGATAATAGCAGTTGTTGTTTATACATTAGTCTGATGATTAAATTGTGAGTTGTGGAAGGTAGAAGCTGTGTCAACCTCCTTCTTGTAATGTGAAGCCCTAATCTAGTAGCTAAAATACAACAAATAACAAACTTTCAAAAATTTTTACATTATTTGATAGTTTTACACCATTACAATTATTTTCCTAAAATTAAGCGGGCAACTCTTGAACATACACCAGATGAACAGCTGTGTGAAATGGATATGTAGCTGGTTAAAAACTGGGGCCATAGATGTCTTTTTATGTTCAAGCTGATTATCTGACACCTTCACATAGAACATATGTGCATGTCTATATAGGGGCATCTTTGTGCTTTACCTGGGAAATTAAGCTCTCTTACCAATGTGACAGAAACAGAAATTGCCTGTACTTAAATAAGCAGGAATTTTTAACCATTCTTATTCATGACATTTGACCCAGCACACAACTTCGGAAAAAAACTCAGGACTATGCTTACCAACCATGCTGATATCTGTGGTATAATTCAGGGCAAAAGAAGAGCTGCAAAATGTTCTTATCTAAAAACATTTGTAGTATAGAACTTATATAAGTGTATATTATTGTGTGTGTTGAGAAGCAGTCAGTACTCTGTGAGGGACATATTACAGGGAGAGTAAAATTCGAAGAATGCATGAATATAAACAACTGGACTTAGTATCATTTCCAACTGCTTACATTCATCCAAAGTTCATTCTGCAAGTATTAGGTCCCCCAGCGTGCTGACTGCTACACACTACTTCATCTAATTTAATCCTCATTTCAACTCTAGGAAGAGGTTAAATAATTATGGCGAAATCAAGACTCAAACCCAGAGCGGCCTCTAATGCCTCCTACGCCACTGCTGTTTCACAAAACGCTGTAGAGCTGTAAATCAAATACTGACCCCATTTCTGAAACACAATTTTATCTCACGGAAAAGAAAAAATCTAGTTACAGTGTGTGTCTGCTTTTTTAACAACAGTATACCATTTGATTTTAAATCAAAAATTCATCTTTAACCATATCTCTTAGTCCTAGACAGAAACGAACAGATAAGAGAAAGAAAAGGGGAAATTTTAAAATTATTTTATTAAAGAAAAAACAAAACCTAAAACATCCTACAAAACCGAAAAAAAATAATTCAATTCAATTTCACTTGGTACCTTTGCTCTTAATAGCGCCAAACGACAACGGTCGTGATCAATGTACTACCGAGAGAGGGATATTCCCCATATATTTATATCTGTTCGTAGGAAAAAAGAATTGTAGTATTTTTGCTGTGTGTACACATTCATCTTCTCTACGCAGTTTCAACAAAATGAGGGAGTACTGTATTCAACTACTAGTGCCTTCCATATTTCACTTCTTACGCCAACAGGTCCGTTTTTATACATACCACCACCTAGTTCAATTTGATAACATACAACTTACCACGTATTGTGGTAAGGAATCCCAAAGTATCACGATACTCAAGATCTGGGACGATCAATGAGCAAGCCTTTATCCCATCTAAGGGGCTGGCAACGTCCCTTCAATTCGAACCTGGGTTGGCAGAGCCCTAAGCCTCCCTGTCTTCAACACCTCGCTCATTAAATACCTCACTCGTGACACTCCCGGCCCGCCCCGGAGGACCGTCCTCACCCCCGTCGAGGAGGAGGTAGCCAAAGGCCAAAACAGGGCTCAAGCCCCTTTCCCTCGCCCGCCGCACGTCCACAAGGAAGACGCACAGCCTGCCCCCTCCACCCGTCACAAACTCCAACACGGGACGAAAGGCCGCCGGCAGAGGATCCGCGGTCCCGGATCAAGCTCCTCCGCCCCGATTCTGAGAGGAACGAGGCGGCCTCCGCGTCCCCAGGCTAGCACATCGTTTCCTCCCCTCCCCCACCCGCGGCCTTTACAACCCCCTCCCCGAGAGGGAGAAGCCCGAGCTCCGCAGCTTATTACCCCTGCTCCAGAGCTGGCACTGAACAGGGCCCGTCCCGCTTCCAGCGATCACACCGCCGCCTTCCTCCTCGGAGTTCGAGGCCTCTAACAGAGGCAGAAAAATCGGCCCCGAATCACAATGGCGCCCGCCCGACTCCCGGATCCGGCGCAGAACCAGCCACCACCGTTAAATGCCCCTCCCTTCTCCTTCCTCCACTTCGCGGCCTCCCCCGACCTCTCGCGAGAGTGGTGGAGCTGAGCGGATCCGAGAGCTGCGAGCGGGCTCGACGTACCCCACCGCGGGGTGGTGCTCTGACTGCGACAACCGTTGAAGGGCTGCCTCCGGGGAGGCAGCGAGGCGCCACCGGTAAGCGGCTGCGGCTGGTCGGCCATCGGGCTGGTGGCTGGGCCGGCGAGTGTGCGGGCCGCGGGAGCGGGGCGCTGGAGGCCCGGCCCTGGTTGGCCGCCGTCGCCTGCCTGGTGAAGGGCTCAGATCCAGCCCTGCCGCTCCCCAGCGTCCAAGTCCGCGCCGCAGTCTCTTGCCCTCTCCGGCAAACCTGCAAGGCCCACTGCTCGAAATACCGCCCATCTTTTTTTTTTTTTTTGGCGCTTGGTGAGTGGCGCAGTGAATGTTTATTGACTTGAATCAAACACTGCCTTTCCGACCTCCCCTCCTCCTATTCCCTGCCCGCCCTAGGTGGTGGCAGCGAGCTCTCCTCTTTAAAGGCTGGAGCTCATTTGTCTGGGACCTTTCGTTCCTTGCGGTAATTCGGTGTTGGTGGTGGTGTACTTTTGCAGTCATGTCTTAAATCGTGATACTAATCTTTGGTAGTGTAGCTACAGATTTTCCAGTAAAAATGCATCCATTTAGAAACAGGGAGGATAATTGTGAGGTAAATGGTCTGATGAGAATGAAACGAAACCTTCAAAGAGCTATAAATGTGGTGAACGAAGATGTAAGTGAATACTAATGAATAAAAGGGAGTAGGTTAGAGGAAAAAGCCACAGTTTCTGTGGATTTAGGTGATATGTGGGTTTTGAATAATGTATCAAACATATAAGTTCTTCACCGGTGAAGATAAGTTATTGAAACTTGGAGGCATACTGATGACAATTGATTTGTAAACTGACCTGTTTTATTGGGTTGTTTAAGCAATTCATTGGATCCAAATAATTTCAATAAATGAAGTATGAAGTTTATGTGTATTTCTTTGTCATTTCACTTGGAGAGTGTGCACTATCAGTATCATCTCTATTTATTTCGCTCTGTCTTGGGGACTAACAGACTGTCCATGCTTCACTATTGTAAATTGTAAAATACTAAAGATCATTATTATTTAAAGTTGGCATATAAATGCCAGTGTAACTTTTAAAAATGTGAGTTGAAGATTAACCATCTGGTGTGAGATAAAGTGAACAGAGATTAAGTTTGAGAAAATTAATTTACCCTGTATAGAAAACTGATATTTTTCCCCCAGCCTGTTTGAGTGTACCTGTAGCATTGTGGTTATGGGTATACACACCCTGAAGCATCAGACTGCATGGGTTCAAATCCCAGCCCAGCCTCTTACTACCTTTGTTGTCTTGAGCAATTCTTTAACCTTGCCAAGCCCAGGTTTCCTGTAAAATGGAGTTAATAAGAATACCCATAACCCACAAGGTTGTTGAAAGGATTAAATGAGATAATGCATCAGTTCCTGGAACATAATAAGCATTCCATAATTGTTAGCTATTACATTCCTTGTCTAAACCACTACTAATATTATCTTCCTGGGGCTTATTACATAGGTCCCTTAAACATCTTCTGAAGTACATTGTACGCTAGGAGGAATGACTGCACTATTTTCCTGAGCTATGGCAGTCAGACTTGGTATAGGTGACTTCTCTACAGAAACCCCAAACCTGGTAAGGATGGTTCAGATTTTGGCAGATTGTCGCTTCATCCCCACCCAACACTGATAATATCAGCAGAGGTGAGTGTGCCACCAATTTCCTATGCTAAACAGAACTTCCAAATCAGTTTCTTGTTGATGCTAGTAAATAAAGACCACTAATAAGTATTTTTTTAAGAATTATTAGTTGATATTGTTTTTAAATGTCCTTTCTCTGATTTGAGTTTCCAGATAATTATCATTATCAGCAAATAATTATTAAGATTTTCTACGTTAAAGACAGTTTGATAACAGATTGTAGATACAAATAGGTATGATAGTGACTATATTTTCTGAACTTAAAATCAGGACCAATGATTTGATGGCAAATTATTTGATATTAGAACTGTTCTGACCAATTTAGACCCCTCAGTTGCCTTTTTTTGCACAGAGTTCCCCCACTTGACCTTCCTTTGCTGAACTTTTTATGCTTATGACCAACTCTGACATACTTTTTTGTATCTAAATATCTTTGTTCACCACTTGCCACACCAACCCATTAGTTTCCATTTCCGAACTTGACTTCTCTAAATTAAGGTCTTCTTTACTATTATTAATTTATCCCCTTTTACTTTATAAATTTGTCATTTGGCCATGATCATAACAACCCTTTACTCTTATGCTTAAGTATTTCTTCAGCCACTTGATAGGTTAGAATTCTCTTTCAGATATTGAATTTCAAAGTTCCTGTTTTCCCCACATTTTAACATTTACAACCTAACCTTCCAAGAAGCTTCTCTATGGTAAGGGTAATTTTATAGATATTCTCCACTTTGCATAAATGATGTGATCTTGAAAAGATGTGATTATATTTGCTTTTTGTAAATCAAATTAATTTAAATGTAGGTTATTTCTTAAACTTTTGAGGAACAGAAGGTAATACCTGGGATGAAATAAGAGTGCTTATTTGGGGGCCCCTAAGTTGAAAACAAAGGATGCGAATTCTTCTTAAACGGGAGTTTTATTAATCTCTGGAGAAGGGAACCTTGTGGCATAAACCAAATTGAGGCTCTACTATTTAAAGTTATAGATAACTTTAAGTGTATGGTACTTATTATTGAAAAATAGCTATAGATTGAAGACTCTGTCTTCAAAGGAATATGTTACTTAAAAGGTCCTTTGCTTTAAATCTTTGATGTAAAAAATTCTTTTTACCAAAAATAATAAACCCCTGATTTAGTGAATTTTAATTTTCCCCTTATCAAGTTCAATTGAAACGTACCCCATTTAATAAGTGAGCATCCAAGACATGCTGTTGGTTCACTTCTGTTGGATTAGAAGCAATAACTTTCAATCCCTAAAGCCAATAGGTAAAACAATATAAAAACAAATAAAAAGAATACCATCTTGAATCCTTCTCTGAGAAACTCTTTCTTACGCTTAAGCTATGGTCTAGATCTCACTGGTTCTAGAAAAATTATTCCAGCTCACATTGCTGCTCCAGAACATCTGGCCTGGTCAGGAACAATTCTCAGCTTATGGAGCACTTGGAATCCATGTGTGAAACACCTTTCACACTGCCTGAAACATGGAGTTTTTAATAAAAGCAACTATCTTTTATTATCGATAGTACTAAAGGTTGGAAAACTATGGTACAAGGCCAAATGTGATCCACTACCTGTTACTGTAAATAGTTTTACTGGAACACAACCAGGTCCATTAATTTATGTAGTCTTTTTTTTTTTAATTTATATAGTCTTATCTGTGTATGTCAGGGTTCTCCACAGAAACAGAACCAATAGTATGTGATACCTAACTATCTATCTACCTGTCTACCTATCTATCTATCTATCTACAATTACTATACAAAATATCTTCACTACAATGCCTAAATTAGCATATGATTAAATAACTCGATACTCTGGCCTCCCCAATTTAACCACAAAATTAACCATCGAAGTCTGTGACTGCTTTTGCCTACAGCGGCAGAGATGAGTAGCTGTGATAGAGATGATATGGCCCAGAAAGCCTAAAATATATTACTATTTGGTTTTTTCATAGAAAGTTTGTTGACCTCTGGAATAAACCATAAAACCAGATTGAAGTGACCCCTGTTCCTTTAATGCTGTCAAGCCAAACACATACATAACAACTTCAGATTGATAATAATCAAGGACTATGCTCGGCCTCCATGGCCACTTTGGACTGTATTTTGTGAGAATGCAAGCAGAAGAGCATCTAAATACTGATATGAATTCCTTGGATATGCCCTCTGGCAAGTTTGGTTGCAACGTCCTTTTTAATCTTAATTTTTTTTTCATGTCTACATTTGTGTACAATTTTATAACAATGTAGGTATGTGATTACATCGTACATATTAGCTATTTTAGTACAGGATGGTTCTTTTGCTTTTTTCCCCCTTTTTCTTTTCTTTTTTTCTCTTTTCTTCCCTTATAATTTCCTTTTTAATTTGGCTCTCTTACCCATATTTACTACTCCATAAACATTCTTGAAAAATTAGCGAGTATCCTTCTGCATTTTTTTCTGCAGTCATACAATGTTGAAGGAATAGTTATTTAACACACACACACAGAGAGAAATACTCATATAGAAATTTTTTTTACCATTTATTTTATAAAACAGCATCAAATTTCAATGTGCATATTCATCTTAATTTTTCAATCAAAAGTACCTTTTTCTTTAAATCCCTATTTATATTGGTTGTTTATCCTTTCGTTTCTTTTTTTAAAATAAATTTCTTTATTTATTTATTTTTGGCTGTGTTGGGTCTTCGTTGCTGTGCCCAGGCTTTCTCTAGTTGCAATGAGTGGGGGCTACTCTTCATTGCGGTGCACAGGCTTCTCACTGTTGTGGCTTCTCTTGTTGTGGAGCACAGGCCCTAGGCGTGAGGGCTTCAGTAGTTGTGGCACACGGGCTCAGTAGTTATGGCTCGCAGGCTCTAGAGCACAGGCTCAGTAGTTGTGGCGCATGGGCTTAGTTGCTCTGTAGCATGTGGGATCTTCCCAGACCAGGGCTCGAACCCGTTTCCCCTGCATTGGCAGGCAGATTCTTAACCACTGTGCCACCAGGGAAGTCCTATCCTTTCTTTTTGATGTCATAGATATTACTACTCTGTCCTTCCTTCACAGTGTTTTTTCAACCCTATCATGTGTCTGTTGACTTGCCATTTATTATCTTTTGCTATAGATATGTTCTTATGGTAAAATGTGTCTGTGATTTCTTTTATAATTTTGGGGTTTGTATCTTAGCTTAAAAAGTATTACCTATCCCTAGATTGTATCATATAATATCCT